GTATGTTCTTTATTTCACTGAATTCTTTCATCATGTTTATAACTGTTCTTTTGAGTTCCATGTCCTGCATTATCTCTAGGGGGTTCTCATTGTACTCCTTTAGAGTACTATTGGTATTTGGTGGGGATATGTTATTTTGGTTTTTCATGTTATTATTTTTCCTCTGTGGTTTTGACATGTGAATTTCTTTTGTAGTTTCTGATTCTTGTGAGACTCAAGCCTTCAAGTTTAGGTCTGCTTCTTTTTATGAACTGTGTCTTTGTGGTTTACTTTTTGGGCATGAAAAGCTGGTTTCTCTAAGCTTCCGGTTCTCTCTTTTGATTTTATATTGGAGTGGCCAGATTGCTTCTGTCTTCAGGAGTTTCCACAGAGGCCCGAGTCAGATGAGGATCAGATGCTCTTGGGCTTTCTCCTAAGATCTGGATCCCTCCAGGAAAGATTTTGGCCTCAGGAATTTGGGGGTTAGACTGGCCTGGGAATCGGGCCCAGGAAAGATGCTGGTCTAGGGCAGCTGGTGGCCATGCCACCCAGAGATGCAAAGGAAGATGGGGGCAGGAAGTGGTCCCAAGGGCTCCTGGGGACTGCACTGAGGAGGTGGGTTGGAAAATATATGTAATGCTTCACGAATTTGCTTGTCATCCTTGCACAGGCCATGCTAATCTTCTCTGTATCGTTCCAATTTTAGTATATGTGCTGCTGAAGCGAGCACTCAAAAGGAATTTTTTTAACAAGACCTTCCTTTCTTGTAGGCACTCAATCCATGATCATTTTTCTTTTTCTTTTTTTTTTGTTTTTTGAAACAGGGTTGCCTAAGGCTCCAGCTGACCTGGAACTCTCTATGTAGACCAGACTGGCTTGATCTCACAAAGATCCATCTGCCTCTGCCTCCCAGCTGCTGGGATTAAAGGTATACACCACCATACCTGGCTTGTTTTAATTAACTTTTAAGTTAATATACAAAGTAATCGTTTCACTGTCTCATACATATGTGTCACTATACATTGCTTTAATTTGTCCTCATCTGGACTGCCCTCCCAAGTGATTCCTGACCCCTCTGGTTGGTTCTTTTTCTCTTCCCCAACTGCCCCCTTCTGCTTTCATGGCATATGTAGTCCATTACCCACCTCCCACCCTCCCACAATCACTTTCTTCCTTCTCTTGATCCCTTTTCTAGTTTCATGACTCAACCAGGATTTGAAGTGTATTGAGATAGGTTTTCATTAATTCAGTTACAAGATTTTAAAAGAACCAACTAGACCTAATCCCACAGGCACAGAAAATGGCAGGTACAACAGAATCAGCAGCATCCTTGAGGCTGAGGGTCAAGCAGATTATTCCAAGCTTCCTTTAGGTTTGCTGCTCCACTAAATATCTGGGCCCTAACTTTGAAATGGAATTAAAACAAGCAGTTTCAGGTTTTAAAAAGCATTAGAATGTCAGGGTTTGTTCATTTTCTTTAAATAGAAGTTAGAGAACAACTTTAGGGAATCAGTTCTCTCCTTCCACCATGGGCTCCAGGGACCAAACTTGGGTCTTCAGGCTTGTGGCAAGTGCTTTTACCCACTAAGCCATCTTGCTGGCCCAGGTTTTGTTGACTCTCATCTACTTCCAGTTGCACAATAAAAGATGCCTCTTCTTTTCTGTATCATTCCAATTTTAGTCTATGTGCTGCTGAAGCCAGCACTTAAAAATACCTATTGTGAAGCACTGACTACATTTCCATCCAGAGGAATTCAGCAATTTACAGGCAATACATTTTGTACAGTAGTAGTGGGTGGGATAAATAGACTACAATACTCTATTTCACTATCAGTTTCAACTTTTCCATTTTATCAAATTTTATATCAACAACTATTAAATGATACATAAACTTTTAAGCTGTCTAGCAAATTAGAGATTGTTAGTTCAACATACTTTCAGGTAGATTAAATACATACCTTTAATTTATCAGATAAATCTTTAATTTCATTAACTGCTCCATTATATTTATTGGCCAATTCTCTTAGTTCTTCCTGAGTCCGCTCATTCATTTCTTTCAGGTGGGTACATTCATCTTCAGTATTACTCAGACTGCGCTGCAATTCAGGTTCACAGGCAATATTAGAATAAATGGATACTTGTTACTTAAAATTCATTATAAAATCGGCTTGTAAAAATTGTAACTCTCTGGGAAATTCTGCATCAATATGTGCCCTAGATTTTGCATAAAGCTGGGTTAAAAAAACAAAGCGATTTCAGTTTACTTCAGATTCATATATACTAAAACACAACACACAATTAAGATTTTTTTTTTTTTAAATGTTGAAGGATGGGGCAAGGAGACTCTACCTATTATTTACACTTAAAAAGGTCAACAGCTATGACCTTTAGTCTTGAAAATATTTTAAGGCCTACAGTTCCTTTTTCATTTGTTTTTGAAACAGGACTATGTAGTTCACAATGGCTTTGAATTCACTGTATTGTCCACACTGGCCTAAAATTTGTGATTCTCCTGCCTCAGACTTCCAAGAACTCCCAATACACTCACTCATCTCTAAGCCAAGAATTCTTTGTTTAATTACCATATAACAATTAATCTAATATGAAAATAGGAAGACAGCTTATAACTCTACTTGGGTGTCAAATTAATCAATCAACAATGAATCACATAAATCACATACTACAGGATAAGGCCATAATACAAACTATCCTGGTAGGGTATGTTTACAACTTAATTTAGGACAAGCACTGTAAAATCCAATGATACAATTTCTGTGTTAATCTTGCAGTTGTTCAAAGGAATGAACCATAGTATGCACTGGGGACATGTTTTGTTTTTAAGCAAAGTGAGTTTTTCTTCTTCCTTTTCTCTGTCCTAGGAACTAAAACATGGGCTTCACACATGCTAAGCACATGTTCTAACACTGAGCTAACCCCCAGTCCCAAGAATTTTGATTGCTTCTAGAACCTAGAAGGACCTTGGAGATTTTTGCCTTTGAACTTCCAAAGCACAAAAGATAGTTTTACTCTCTGGAGGATAAGTAAAGTAGGAAAGTCCTCATTTACACTGACCATCCTCAACTAAAACAAAAGCAAAATTTTATGACAAAAAAAATCAATTCCCATCAGGTGTAGTAATACCTTTAACCCCAGCACTCAGATAGAAGCAGGTGGGTATCTGTGAGTTCAAGCCCTGCCAGTCAGATTTACATAGTGAGACCCTGTGTCAAAACAATAAACAAATAGGGGCCTGGAGAGATGGCTTACAGTTAAGAGCACTGGCTGCTCTTGCAGAGGACCCTGATTCGGTTCCCAGCACCCACATGGTGGCTAACAACCATCAGTAACTCCAGTTCCAGGGGATCCAATGCCATCTTCTGAACTCAGTGGGCACAGCACAACACGGGTATACTTAGGCACATGCAGGCAATACACTCATACAAATAAGATAAAAATAACAAATGAAGTATTTTTAAAAGTTCATCAATAAATAAGTAAATCAATCAATAAATAAAACCCCTCACACTTATCACAGAGTGAAAACATAAAGATTCTCAGGTGACTCTTGTTATTTCTCGGTCAATAACTTGGGACCAAAAGCTCCAGAATGCATATGATTATGTTGAGAATTCCTGCCAATGAAAGCAGCTTCTTCCTATCTGACAGACAGAATATATTTTCTAGCTACACAAACCCAAGTTTAAAGTGCTCTGGAATATCTAAAATACACTTTAAAAATCATACTACTACTTAGTATTAGTATTTTTTTAAATGAAATACCTCAACTTCTGAAAGTTTTCTAACCACTTCAATTTTCTCCTGAAGAACCCGCCTCAGGGACTCTTTGGCTGTGGTCTCATAGTTGTGTTTATCTTCCTGTAATGCTATGAATTCTTTCCGTAAACTATCTTCTGTTTGATTCTAAAATAAAAGATAGTTATAATTATAGCTCAGTGACTTTTCTTTGAAAAGCTCTTCCCCTTTAAAAGAAATAAGCACATTATGATGCTCTCTAAATTCTGTTAAGGGACCTCCAAACACAAATCATGTTGGCTCCATACTAATTGAATCTGCATTTCAAAATAGTATCAGTAAATTATGACTTCACAGATTATACTAATTCCAACAGGAAAAAAAAGTCAAAGACAATTTATCTCAAATATATAAGACAGATATATTAGTATCTGTCCATATTCCAAGGAAGCCATCATACTTACATTTGTGAGCAAAACTCATTGCCATCAAAAGCACCAAACATTTTAAAACAGTTAAGACAGAATGAGAGCACCATGGGGAAAAAAGCAGACTCCATGTCTGGAACAAGAAATGTACAAATGGGATACCCTGGCCAGTGTGATCGCAAGAAACCATCAAGGTTAAACAGTAAACCTAGCTGGGCGTGGTGGTGCATGCCTGTAGTCCCAGCACTTGGGAGGCAGAGGCAGGGGGATCTCTGTGAGTTCAAGGCCAGCCTAGTCTACATAGTGAGCCCCAGGCCAGTTGGAGCTACAGGGAGACCCTGTTAAAAAAAAAAAACGAACAAACAGTAAACCTGAAAAGGTTCACTCACACCAAACCCAGAACAATTTGATCATCAACAAAGAAAACAACTACAATAGATTAAACACACCAAATACGTTTAAATCTAAGTGAGAGAAAAAAATACTTCATTGTCATTCCCTAGTAGATGAAAAGGAACTAATTTCATTACTTTTTTATCTGGTAAATAAGGGGAGAAAACCACTTATTTGGCTTTTCCTGTAGAAATTGTACTTCAGAGTAAGGAAATGGTTCATGAGGGAAAAATTCTCTTTGTAGAAGTAATCAAGTTAAAAAAATGAATGAATTGTAGGGTCACATCAAATTTTATAATCTTTAATGAAATCATGAAATAATGAATAAGAATCATTCATGATTGGTAAAATCTTAAGAAGACCACTAGAGCCTTTATGTTGTCTTTTGGTTAAAGAACAATATCATCAACAATGTGCTGTTGGCAAAGAAAACAAAAAAACAAAAAACAAAAACAAAGCAAACAGACACCATGGAACCTAAACCAGACCAAATCCCTCAACCTTTATAGACTATGAGAACGGGCCAGAAAACTGTTACAGTAATAGTACAGACTGAGGAAAATTGCAATGATCCAGTTTTTTCAATAACTATCAATAGCAAAAGAACAAGGGAATTAGAATTCAATGTGGGTGTGCACTACACAGTTCCTACTTAACAGGTATGTTTGAAATTTTTCATTATTAAAGATTCTTAAAAATTGTGACATTATGTGCCTTAGATACACTCAAAATGACAAATAAATGAAGCTACATAAAACACTGCATCCACGGCTGGGCGTGGTGGCACATGCCTTTAATCCCAGCACTGGGGAGGCAGAGGCAGGGGGATCTCCGTGAGTTCAAGGCCAGACTGGTCTACATAGTGAGTTCCAGGTCAGGTGGGGCTACAGGGAGACCCTTTCTCAAAAAGACCAAAAACACGCCTCCCCCCCCCCAAAAAACAACACTGTATCCTTCCTTCTGTACTTAAAATTAAATACCTACTTTGGAGCATGCCTGTAATTGGTTTCCCATAACTTCTAACCGTGATAAGAGTCTATCTTCATCTATTAAAGCCTGTGGAAGAAAAAGTAAAGATAAATAAAATTCCAGAGTAACTTGCATGTATATCAAACAGACTATATTGCCAACAAAGTAAAGAAAATTAGACAGTCAACCAAAATCTACTGTAAAATGCTGTCTTCACCATTTGTTCTTTAGTTGGGAAATAACTTTACCTTTGTTTGCTACAAATTTTTAGTTTTAGTTCATTCAACACACACACACACACACACACACACACACACACACACGTACACACAAACTGTTAAACACTTCTTGAATATAAAGGCAAACGGAATACCTGCCAACTGGTATCTGAAGCCTCTTGGGTGATGGCTAGTAGCCGCTGAAGTGTGGCTAGCTTCTGTTCCAACATCTGTTCCCGATGTAAGGCCTCCTAACATTACAAATTATAAAGAGATTCTAATGAACTCAGCACAGTTTCTTTGAAGAGTAATTAACTGTCAGCGCAATTTGAACATATTCTCATATTACATTTCCCTTGATGTATTTGAAAGTATTATGACTTTGATAATTCCTTAAAATTCATGCAGGTCACATTATTTTAGCCTTATCTCCTGGGCTATAAGTATTGCTGTTATAGGTATTCTAGCTCTAACTTTTTCCAAATGGAAAACAAGGTACTTGTTTCTGTTTTCGCTTTATTCAAAATGTAGATTAGAAAGTGACAGACGTTTCATTTTGTATTTCATATACATATACAAACATACTCATATGTATATAAAATATGTATATATTTTACAACAAATGTATTCCAAACTAAGGAAAACTAATGTAGTCAGCATCAGAGATACTTTATAATCACTCTACAATATGATGTCTAGCTTTCAATCTTTCCTTTTTAAAACATTTAAATATATGCATGTGTATTTAAAAAGAGACTACTCTCACAGCCTAGGGCATCTTCAGATATTCTGAGTCTCTCTCTGACTGCATGTCACTTAGCAGTAATGAATATTCAAAAAATAAGAGCCCGCTGGTTATTATTAATATGTGATTAAGAGGTCAAAGGAATATGATACAGTAAAAAACACTGAAGAGCAAAGCCTAATCCCTAGTGACTTGTTAACATTTGATATCTGTTAATAGCATCCCCTTCACACAGTGTGAAGGTGAAATGCTCACGGCACTTAGCTATGGCTTTGGCATCTTCTTTAATTCCTGTCAATACCCAAAGCATACTTACTACCTTTTGGCACCTCAACAGAAGCGTTGTTTCAAATATAGCACTTAAGGTTTGAAGCATTAATTTACTGTTCTCCATATCCTTGATAAACAATGACTTGGGGAAATCTGGCCTAATGTAGACTCAGAAGTACTATGCTTTAATATAATTCTTAAAAATACAGACTGAGGAATCTAATAACAATCCTATTACTTGAGACCCCCACATTAAAAAAGCTACTTACCACATTTTATTTTAAGCTCCTAAAACATTCCTATTATGCAGGAAATAACTGATAAACAAAACGACCAGCCAACCCCACCTTTAGAATCTACCTCCCCTAGATGTTATCATTTCGCCTTTTTAAAAACTCCAGTCCATTAGTGTCTTAATTCTGGATCAAATTCCAACAAATGTAGTATTTCTGGGAATGGACTTTTTAGTCCTAAGACATGAAATGCATCTATTCCAACTTTTTTTCAAAGGGTTGACAATTTATATTAGAATTTTAGCAATTCAGTAAAGATATATGCCAGAAGAAAAAGAATAGGTGGTATAATTTCTTTCAAAAAGTTAAAAAAAGAAAAGCAATTACACAAGTTGGAAAGAATGAGAATTAATGCACGGGAGTCACAGTTCATGATGATAAATAGTCACATAGGTCTATCATTTAACCTAGATCAACATCACATGAAAAATAAAGTACAAACAATTAATCTCGAAGTTTTTTTCCACCTTGTAAAGAGATCTACAACAACTGATGTGTTTTCCCATCGAAGGGCAAATGACTCCTGACATCTACGTCTCAAGTTTCATGTTGCACAAACTGTTCTAAGTGCTTTGCATATGTTAATTCGTAAATCCTTCATGAAGTGAAGTGGGTGCTACTGCTTTAGCAATTTTCTAGGTGAGAAAAATGAGGTTCAAAGATTTTTAATAACTTTTTTGGAGATCAGAAGCTAAAGCCAGGGACCAAATCTAGTGAATGTCTACCTACATCCCACGCTCTAGTAGTCTGCGGATGTGCAATTGCACAAAATTGTCTTCTGTACAGCAGGACATCATGCTTGGTGAAAAATAAGATATAATTAATGTGTACGTTCTTTTCCTTTTTTTTTTTTTTTTTTTTTTTTTTTTTTTTTTTTTTCTGTAAAGATAAAGGCTCCAGCTGTTCTGGGACTCACTATGTAGGCCAGGCTGGCCTTGAACTCACAGAGATCTGCCTGCCTCTGCCTTCAGAGTGCTGGGATTAAAGGCGTGCGCCACCACGCCCAGCAATGTGTTGGCTATTTTCTGTACTTTATCACGGAAGTGCATGCCTTAACAGGAATAGAACTTCCCTCAGTGATTGATTCCTATAAACTAACATAAGGACCCATGGTCACTGTTGTGATTCTACAGTTTTAAGCAGAATGCAACTAAAAGCCTGTATAAGTAAAATTCTTCACCCAAAGTCATAGAATTAGTTGAACAGAAGAATCAAGATGAAAACTTCAATCTCTAAATTCCTAATTCAATAAAGGTTTTTTTTTTTTTTTTGGTCTTTTTGAGACAGGGTCTCCCTGTAGCCCCAGCTGTCCTGGAATTCACTATGTAGACCAGGCTGGCCTTGAACTCACAGAGAGCCGCCTGCCTCTGCCTCCCAAGTGCTGGGACTAAAGGTGGGCGCCACCACGCCTGGCCCAAGTTTTTTTTTTTTTTGTTTTGTTTTTTTAACTATACTCTCATTATAGTCAGCCCCCCAAAACCATAATCCTGGCCACAAAAATCAAGAAAAAAACAGCACTTTCTTCCTTTTAGAAAGCCATATGGCTCTTTAAACATGAAATAAAAAATAAAAAAAAAACACAAAAAACATGGAATTAAGTGCTTCGGGAAGCCATTCTAAGTATTGCTCTGTGCTTTGGATCCATGAGCACAGTTCAACAGAGACTCTGAGGTCTGACTGTCAAGCCACTCTAAACTCAGACTAGAAGCAAATCTTAGTTTTATCACATACAAGGTGTGTGATATTTTTAAATTTCTGAATATCCCTGTCCCTTGGTTACTCCATGTGGAAAAAGAGGAATGAAATATCTACATTATAAGATTGTTCTACAGATTCGATAAATTAATAATATAGGTAAAGTGCTAGAATAGAGTATGGCATAAAATAAGTGTATATAATTATATACTACTATCAGACAACCAAAATAGCTCCAGGTTTAATTTTATTTAAAAGTCATCTATGGATAAAGAATTATTTTGGAACCTCCTCATAATAGAAGAAAAAAGTTTCTCTTGCACATAAACTTGTCTTCTCTAGACTTGGCAATCCTGACTTTTTTGATTCATGAGATCCATTTTAATCCTTAGTTATTTTTTAAAGGGTATTTCTTGTGTACTTGTATCCAGTTAATATTTTACCCCATATTTGAAAATTGGAAAAATTAAATCTAAGTTATTTAATTCTACTTTTAAAGACTAAGAATTCTCAAGATTTACTTTTACCTGTAGATTCTGAGAAAGTTGGAATAGTTCCTGAGAGTACATACTTGGAGTGTTAGCAGCAACCTAGAAATCAAATGACACAGATCAATAATCATAAAACACTATACTTAAAAAGGGACCAGAAAGATGGCTCAGTGAGTAAGGTGCCTGCTGCCAAGCCTGACGATCTCAGTTCAATCCCTAGGATCCACATGGTGGAAGGAAAGAGCCAAATGCTGTAAGTTATCTTCTGGCCTCCATATGCACATGTGAGCACACATAAAAAATAAATAAAAATGCAATTAAAAAATCATTTTAAAGACATTTTAAGATAAGTCAATTTCATGAAATATCTATTTTCCTAAATATACAGATAAATATTTTAATCTAAAAAAAGAAAGAGACACTAACATTCTGTTCATTGGCCAGAGACAATGAGAATAATTTTGATTTATTTTATTATGATAGGTAAAATTATAGGAAAAAGACAGAAAATAATGATATTTTAAAACTACAAATTAGCCTAACTGCTTAGAACCAAAAAGATTAGAATTCACTTCTATTAGGGCTTTTCAAGGCTATCAGCTACAGAAGCATGTCATTAGAAAAAGAAAATGAACCTAAAACTTTTATAGCCACTTTTGAAAGAGATCTATCTTTGTCTGGAAATTGTTATTGAGTATGATAAAGCTGTAATGAAATGCTTCTTTTAAAAAATAAAATAAAACAAAACAACAACAAAAACCCAAACCAAAAAAAAAGAAAAGAATAAAGCCACTTAACAAGTTGTTTTAATATCCGCCTGCATCCTGAATACTAATAAGCTCTATATGTATATATCCTTTGTTTGTTTTCATTTTTTGAGACAGGGTCTTGCTATATAGCCCTACCTAGTCTGGTACTATATAGCCTAGGCTGGCTTTGAACTCACAGTAATCCTTCTACCTCAGTCTTCTGAGTGCTAGAAATACAGGTGTGTGCCACTACACCCTGCCAATTTATTCATGATGTTACAGAATCATTCCTTATTAAGCTCAGAAAACTTATTTTTACCAATATTTTCACTAAAAAACAGAACTGGCATTATTTTTTGAAGTTCTAAATTAGTAAAATCCATTTACTTCTAAAATAATTTTAGGCATTACCAAAGTTATTGAAAAACCACTCATAATTCTAAAATAAGAATCACCAAAACAATTTCAATTTGAAGTAGGCATTTCATTCTTCACCTAAATGAAAGGGAAAAAAAAGTGCAAAATAGTTTTTCTAATATTTTAGTTATTGCACTGAAAAAACAATATCCAGTCAAGCATGGTGATATACACCTGTAATCCCAACACTTGGGAGGCAAGTAAGAGGAGCAAAAGGTCTACAGCATCCTTTACTACACCGTGAGTTCTTGGCCACCCTGGGCCAAGTGAGACCCTGCCTCAAAAAAAACAAAACAAAACAGAATGAAGTCCCCAGATCCATATTAATGTTAAATAGTGACAGGACATAGTGTTTTGCTTTGGAGTCATTTTGTGTTTGTCTGTTATTTAGCAATGATGCCTATGCTTTTATTGTACCATTACTTCCAAGAATAAAGAAAAAAATAAGAAAAATATTCTAACAATCAGTTACAGTAGATTTTAATCAGCTCGTGTTACAACTTACATTCAAAGACCAAAAGAGAACAATTTCTGAAAGTTCATATTTCTGTGCTACTTTGCTGTATAGTTAAATAAATACTGAGTGAATTTTAGGTAGGAAGCTTTATAAACTGTCTAGGAGAAGTGCACCTCAAAATAAAGAGTAATTTTAACATGCCTTACCTTTGGCTAGGCACAAAAACAGGTATATCTAGTCTACTCATTCAATACTTTTCTTAAGCAACAAAACCTTTCCCCAAGGAAACTTCCATCACAAATCCTCCAGATACTGAGGATCAGAAGACCGTATTAACTATACAGCTCTATCTACTCTGTATATTTTGTTACAAAAAAGAAGCAAGTTTCTAGGTAAAGCATATTAAATATAAACACTTCAAAGTAACAATATTTAAAAGTTTGGAAAAAATAATCATTTGCAACTTACTTTGTCAACAGGACTTGGTAATGGAGCATGGATGACACTGAAAAGTAAAATTTAGAATTTTTATCTAATTTCCTGACAAGAAAGGAAATAGGGAACTAGAGAACCAGAATGTCTGAAGTCACAACATTGATGCACTTGCCCATATATAATAAAGGAATGAGAATTACTCTCAATCCTTCATAAATATGCAACATTCTCAAACACATCAATGTTTTTCTTAAATTCAAATCCAAATGTATTAAGTATCCTTTGAGACCCACTAGTTACTCGGGACTGTGGAAAAATTCTTGTTTTTAACATTTCTGTACATAAAATCACCCTTTAAATCAAGTATTTTTAATTCTGTGATGTACAAATGAAGTTCTTTAAAGAGTAAACGGATCTATATTGGAAGTTGTTTTAAAAGAAAGCTCAATTGGAAGGAAAGAAAGATTATAATTTGGAAAGGTGTTCAGTGATGAACAACTTCAGCTGGTCAAATAGCAGCAACTGTTCTTCACCTCAGAAACTAACTGAAAGCTGAGATGTGTAGATAAAACTGTACTCAGTATATAAAACATAGCATTAAATGGAGAGCATTAATTGACTGATTTCCTTTTGGGCCTAATAAAAGAATTTGCAAAAGAAGAGGCACAAGGCTCAGAAACCATACCAACTAGATCAAATTTGGGTTCTACTTCCAGCTAAAAGGCAAAATAATAAGATGGGCCTCAGCTTCCTTGCCATAAAGTGGAAATAATTATAAAACCAATCATATAGGGTTGTTTCAAGTATTCAATGTGTTGCTAATAATAATGAGCTTAAAACAATGCCTTGGCATAGTAACCAGCTGATCACTACTTCTACTATGAGAATTGTACAGCTAAGGAAGCCAGAGTCCCTATTTTACAAAGCCCTCTAGATGCTCTATATGTCTTTAGGGTAGGTAGAGAGCATCCTCTATAAGCAAGGTTATAGTGTATAGTGTAGAGAGCCATACACTTCAAATCTTAGAAGGCATTCTAGTGAAGTCCAATTTGAAGGTTGTTTGGGTAAAGTTCCCAGGTTCAATTGATAAAGCATGTGTAAGCTGCTAGGAAAGGAAACTGATCTGGTAAGGCATATAAAACAGAGTGCTAAGTACCTTCCTTCTGCACACCATGATATTCTGTAGACTTCACTGATCCTGTATAAATCTTTATTATACTTGTTTGATTACATGTCTGTGTCTCAAGAATTATGAAAAATTCACCTTTTCATTCCCAGAGCCTATCACAAGGCCTGACAAACTTAGAACCTAGTGAAGGTTTTTTAAGTTATATTTAACTACAAATAGTCTTCTTTACTCCATAAACCTAAAAGATATTTTAGATATAAGTTAATTTTCTAATATTTTATTATTTTTATGTTATATATATGAGTATATTGTCTGCATGTATGTGAGTGCACCTGTGTTATGCAATGCCCACAGAGGTAAGAAGAGAGTATAAGATGTAAGATCCCCTAGAACTCAAGCTACAAACAGTTGTTAGCAGTCATGTGGGTGCTATGAATTGAACCCAGGTCCTCTGTAAGAGCAGCTAGTGCTTTTAACCACTGAGCCATCTCTCCAGTCCCAAGTTAATTTTTGACTGTGTAAGAAATATATATTGATTACAGAAAATGTGTAAAGTAAAAGAAATAAAATTATCCAATCCCAGCACCCACAGAGAACCATTTTTGTGTGTATCCCTTTTTCTGCAGGTAACCATTGCATGTATAGAGAAATTAACTCACAAAGCCTAAATAGAAATAAATAGTTTTTTGAAATCTAGTTTTCTTAGATTTCTCTTCTGTCCTCATGCGATCTAGTTAAAAATAAAAGGTTAAAAAAGCCAAACAACATATTCTACAAATAATATCTACGTTTTTACAAAAACTACCTTGAATATAGGCGTATTTTGTTTGAGTTGTTGAAAAGCTCCATGTGTATATAAAAACTAGAAG